AAAAAAGCCAGAAGTGGCACTGTGGCTCAAGTGGTAGAGCACTAGCCTTGAGCTGAAGAGCTGAGGGACAGCACCCAGGCCCAGAGTTCAGGCCACACGACCAGACCACCCCCGCAAAAAAAAAGACTGATGAGAAGGGGGGAGGGAAAGGAAGGGGGAAGGACAGAAAACTTAGCTAACTTGCTCTCTCTCTATGGTGTTACATGATGCCCCCCACATATTAAAGTACAAAACTCTTATCAGATGCCAAGCCCATACCAACAGCTCCATGTTCTTGAATTTCTTAATCTCCAGTACCATGACCCAAATGAACTATTTTTTTTAATAAATTACCTGGCCTCAGCCTCAGCGATTTTGTTACAATAGAAAAATAGATTAAGATAGCCCTGTGTGCATAATTGGTTGGTTTCTCTCATCCTCTGTATAACTATAAGAAGTGTTACATCTTAGAAAATTCAGAATACTGCCGGGCGCCGGTGGCTCACTCCTGTAATCCTAGCTACTCAGGAGGCTGAGATCTAAGGATCTCGGTTCAAAGCCAGCCTGGGCAGGAAAGACTGTGAGACTCCTATCTCTAATAACCCACCAGGAAACCAGAAGTGGCGCTGTAGCTCAAGTGATAGAGCGCTCGCTTTGAGCTGAAGAGCTGAGGGACAGCACCCAGGCCCAGAGTTCAAGCCCCACGACCGACCAAAAAAAAAAAAAAAAAAAAAAAAATCAAAATAACTCAGAAAAACTAGTAGAAAAGCCAGAAGATGTGCCAGAGTGTATATCTTTCATTAGTCCTGATTCCTGCCAGTCTCCACACTAGACCTACTTTTAAGGATCCCGACCTAGCCTAGCATCTCCAAAACAATGAAGGCCACGCGTGCCCTCACGTCAGAAGTATGTGAGTTGCAGGCAGAGATTCCCAGATATTTTACAACAGTTCATCCATCCTTATACTGGCCCTATTTTCCTAAAACAGGCTTTGTTTTGTTTTCATTTTATTTTGTTTTTCTGAGACAGAGTCTTGCTATGTAACCCAGATTGGCTCAGAATGTGCTGGTAGCCCAGGCTAACCTCAGATTCTTGATCTTCCTTTTCCCAAGTGCTTGAATTATATGGGCATGGGTCACTATACCCATAAACCATAAGCATTTTGAAAGGGGTACACTTTTGGGAACTAGACCTGTGAACCAGCGCAAATGAGGCTATCAACACAGGAAAATACATGTCTGTTGTCACTATCTTTGAATCTGGAAACTTCATCGAGGGGAAGGATTTCAACTCAAATATTCTAGCTTGTCATATCATTTTCTGGCTCCATGAAATACCTTTCAAGTTCTGTGTCCATGGAGAAAGGAAAAGGCTAAGACCAAACTGGGGTTCTTAGAAGCTTCCACCATTGTCATGAATCAGGAAAAATGTTCAAGTAGATTAGCATAGACATTTAATCAGTCTCCTTGTTCTGTCCATAAAAAAAAAGGATATAATCAAATGGTTCAGTGCTGGTTGGTTAAACATGTAGCATGAACTTTATGGGCCATTAGTACTAAATGTAAGCTCAAGAGCTTTAGATCCAGGCAGGTACCTTTAAAACTTAAATTATAATAGCCAAAGCTTGACTGCAATGAGATTTCCAAACCCTAGTGGTTGATCTAGAGATATAATCTAACAAAATTTTTATATAGTAGAAGCCTTACAGAATACTTTTGCTTTGTTTTTTTTTTTTTAATTTTTTTTTGTGGTGATACTGGGATTTGAACTTGGGACTTTGTGCTTACTTAGCTGGAGTTCTACCATGCCTCTAGCCTACTCCCTCTGTTTGTAAAAATTATTTAGGAGGGCCTGGGAAGGTAGTTTAGTGATAGAGTGCTTGCCTCACATGCATGAGGCCATGGGTTCAATTCCTCAGCACCACATAAACAGAAAAAGCTGGAAGTGGCGCTGTGGCCCAAGTAATAGAGCGCTAGCTTTGAACTGAAGGACAGTGCCCAGGCCCAGAGTTCAGGCCCAGATCAACCCCGCTCCCCCCACCAATAAAAACCCCAAAATTATTTTGGAGATTGAGTCTCACAGACATTTCTGGTCAGGCTGACTTTGAACCTCCATCTTCTGAATCTTAGCCTCTTGATTGCTTAGCTAACAATTCTTAAACAGCTCTCCAGATGAGCCGACACTCTCTCTCCCCCTCCCACAGCCCTGTACTGGCACTAGGGCACCCTGAATGCTAGGCTACTTTTTTTTTCTGTTCCTATTAATCTCCAATTAACTACTAAAAATCCACAGTGGAGCTGTGCCTCAAATGGTAAAATGCTATCCTTGAGCACAAAAACTCAGGGACAGCCCCTAGGCCCAGAGTTCAAAGCCTTAATACTGGCACATTCACACACAAAAAAGCTGATCAGTTACTAGAATATTAGAATATGTCGCAACAGGATGTGAATGTTATAAACTCAGTGCACTTTATCAACAAAGGAAGAAATTAAAAAATCATGTTCTTTATGTATCAGAAAATATAAAGTGGCTACCGTAAAATAATACAGTAGAGCAGAAAACAAAAGAAGAAAACAATAATTTCATGTGAAGAACTACCCAGTCATAAGCTGAAGACCCATAATCAATCAGGAGAACTAGTTATCATTGAAGCTTTTCCTGCCTGCTCCACTACAACTGCCCATTCGTTTGTGCCCTCTGGCTGCTGGGTTTGTCTCCCCAAAGCTATTCTTTGTATTTCACTGATATTTCCCTCAAATAGGCCCAAGTTTCCAGCTCTTGCTTGTGACCAGCATCAGCACAAGGCCTAGTACTTAGAAAATGTGTATGTGTGTGTGTGTGTGAGAGAGAGAGAGAGAGAGAAAGAAAGAAAGAAAGAAAGAAAAAGAAAAAAAAAGAAATAAAAGAAAAGAAAGACAGTATTCTGGTACCAGGGCTATGAATTCAGTATCTTGTGCTTTTGCTTAGCTTTTTTGCTCAAGGCTGGTACTCTGTCACTTGAGTCATACCTCCATTCCCATTGTTTTACTTGTTAATTGGAAATTAGAGTCTCTTGTATTTGTCTGCCAGGCTGGCTTTGGACCTCAGATCTCAGCCTCCAGAGTAGCTAGAATTTCAGGTGTGGGCCACCAATGCTCAGCTGAAAAAATTTCTTAAATATGTGATCCTGTGCATATACAAATCAAGGCATTGTACAAAAAGATGGAGGATAACTCTGCAGTGAACTGTGAATTTGGATATTTATTTATTTTGCTAGAGATCAAATCCATACTCTTTTGAATGCCAGGCAAGTGCTTAACTACTGAGTTATACACATCTTGCACAATTTTTTTTAAGTGTTATGGTAATGCAATCAGAAAGGCACTAGCATACCTCTGAGCCTAAAAAGGAAATCACTGGGAAGGTCAAAGTTCACTAGCCTAGTTGAACTAATCATTAAGATCATTCAAATCACTTGACCTTGACTCTAGGGTCTTGATACTTCAAAGGTTCCTAGATAGAAAAAAAAAAATCTTGACAATGGGGAAGAAGCTGTCTACAGTTTAAACTGATACATTGTTTTTCTAGTACAAGTCAGTAAAGATTACCTAATCTCTAAAATACAATGGGAAGATTAGAGAAATGTTACTGTAGGGCTTTCTGGATCTTTTCCCCCTCCAAACCTATTATTTCCATAACTATTCACAATATGATCATTTAACCAGCTAATATAAATGTGCTCATATATTCAAATATATGCATATTTAGTATATTCCCATGTATATATTTGTAGTACCTTTCTAGCTCAGCTCAGTAATACATACTCACTGTAGAAAAGTTGGAAAGATCCAAGAAAGATAAAGGGAGAAAATGGCTCATAATTCTAGTATGAGGCATCAATGGTGACCTTTAGCCTGCTCCCTTCCAATTTTATTTTCTTGCAGTTTGCATAGTTGAAAGGCAACTATGGTGCACAATTTTTATGGTCCTAAGCTAACAGGAGACTTAGGTTTTCTTTTACTCCTCCTGTCCAAAGAATAGTGAAATACCGTAGGAAAAATCTCTCTCTAGGCATCTAAATAACAAGGGATTAGGTCACAAGGGCTCAGCCTTCCTTATCTCTGGAGTGGGTTATCTCCAAAAAATGGCTTTGTTATAAAAGTGGACTTGGCCCGGTCCTGATTCCTCCTTCTTACCCTGTTTTGTCCTTCTACAGGCCACCTCTCCTGCTGCATCTGACTTGGACTGCCAGACTCCAGAATGAGGAACCAAATAAATATTTTGTAATATAAATGATCCCTTCTGGTTCTGCTTCTGAAGCAGACTAAGGCATTTCATTGATCTGTCCTGCCAGCCTGGGGCGGGGGGGGGGGGGGGGGAGGTCTGATCATGATTGGCTCCCGTTTAGGGAGGTGAGTAACTTGGGAAAGTGACTGAGCTGCTGCACTGCTGCCTCCGTCTCCACACGGACTCTTACAGTCTTTCAGTCTTCTACGCCAAGTCCAAAGGCCCACTGGAGGCCGGATTGTCAAGGAGAAGCGTGCAATCAAGTTCAGCAGAATCAAGAACGCGTAGAACTAACACTCAGGACAGGGCCCCAGTAAGGCAGGAACAGAGATGCCGGCCAGGTGTCTCCTCCCAGGAACAGTCTACAGGTGTGCCCCGCACACCGGTCATGCTGGCCACCTGGTTACGAGGGTTTGGGGAGAGACCCCATTTTCTGTGGGGGCTCACATGCCTAGCTCACATCTTTGCACACGTCCCTTCTGTGAGGCCTACAGAAACGAAGACCACATCGGCAGGCTCAGGAACCCCTGACCTTTTGGGGTCAGATGAGTTCGTGGCTTTTGCTCTCTAGACCCACAGCTGGGCCTCGGAGACCGACTCCACCAGTCCCCCACGCGTCCCATGTCCCTGCAGTGGGACCCGAGCTCTCTTCCTGGACGGCGCCTCGCGGGCAGAGTGTGCACGACCCTGACCCTCCAACGGTGTCCCTGCCCCGGGAGCGGCTCGGGCCTGCGAGGTGCCAGGACAGGACCCCGCTGGCGGGTGGCCGTGGGGCGGCGCGCTCTGGACAGGATCCGGAGACCCGCGTCCCTCTACCCTCCTGCCCTGTCCTTCCCGACCTGCTCCCCCTTTCCTGTGCGCAGGCGATCCGTGGGGCCGAGGCTCCGGGGCCAGATGGATGCTGCCCTTCCCGGGGGAGCTGGGTGGGAGCGGAGGCGGCTCAGCCGTCCGTCTCCAGAATCTGCACACAGCCAGCGCCCCTCCAAGCGGGTCAGAGGCTGCTCAGAGGGTTAGCAGGAGGCCCTTTGACCAACCGGGCTGTTCCCCACGAGTAGCTCCTCCCGGCCAGCCGGGGGGCGGGGGGCGGGGAGGGGAAGGTGCAAAATAAGGCAAGACTACAACTCCTTGGAGAAACTGATTGGACGCAGCTGGGACTCCTGGCTGGGGGTGGGGGGGGTGGGATGAAGGAGGCGCAGCGGGGAGCTGGGAGAGGCCTGTGCGCTCCAGGCCTGCCAGGTGCCTGGCAGCAAGGCTGGTGGTCAGTATGACAGTTCGAAAGATTATCGCCCCTATCCTGACTTTTAACCAAACCAAAGCATGGTGGTAAGGAGTGTCCGGTCTAAAATACAGTGCTTGAAGTCTGGGCATTACTAATTTCTGGTGAGTTCTGGGAAATCATTGAACCTTTGCCAGTACATTTCTCCATCTGTAAAGCGGAATAGCAATCCATGCCCGCGGGGTTGTTGGGAGGAGAAACTGAGATCATGCATATGGTAATGTAACTATTAATGGCATACAAATGTTAGCTATTTTATCTTCAGAGATTTGCGCCCCCCCCCCCAAGAATAAAGAAACAGGCTAGCTTGGTCCTGACTTCTCACAAGACCACAAAAAGCCAGGTTGCTCAGTGCTGCTTAGGCAATGTCCTGGCAGATGCCCAGACCCCTGGGGGACTGTCACAAAATTATTGCAAAGTTGTCTTAACTAGGTTAGTTTTAGCTCACCATCTGGATTTGTTTTTGTTTCTTGTTTTCTCAGTCCTGGGGCTTGACCTCTGGGATTGGAGGCTATCCCTAAGCTTCTTTTGCTCAAGGCTAACACTTTACCCCTTGAACCACAACACCACTTCCAGCTTTTTCTGAGTAATTTATTGGAGATAAGAGTCTCTCAGACTTTTTTGCCTGGGCTGGCTTCCAATGGCAGTCCTCAGATCTCAGCCTCCTGAGTAGCTAGGTTTGTGGTTTTTTTTTTTTTTAATCTAAGTACATCTGGGAAGAAGCCATGTTACAAAATCACACATTGGCTGTCAAAATAGTGAAAAGGGAAATGATTAGGAAACACTTGGTTAAAAGAAACAAAACAGGCTCTTTTCCGTTTTGTATTTATGTAGTTACTCAAAAAAAAATCCAGAGGATCATCACTTGAAGACTTACCTACAAGAGATAAGAGAGGCTGTGTTGTTTGCTTTTTCTTTTTTTTGGGGGGGGGTCCAGCGGTGGGGCCTGGGCTTGGGCGCTGTCCCTCAGCTCTTCAGCTCAAGGCTAGCGTTCTACCACTTGAGCCATAGCGCCACTTCCGGATTTTTTTTTCTTTTTGCTTATGTGGTGCTGAGGAATCGAACCCAGGGCCTCAGGCATGCAAGGCAAGCATTCTACCACTGAGCCA